AGTAGGGGGGAGGGGTTTAGGGGATTGGGAAAGGAACACGCGGGGCATGAAAGCAGAGAAAAATTGAGTTGGGAGAGAAGAATTCATGTGTTGCTTAAGGAGCAAAACTTGGGCTGGTGTTGAAGAGCACTGGAGCAGGGAGATGAGGGGCTAAAATGGGAGCTGGGTTATCAGGGATAGGGCTGAGGGGGGAATTGAATGAGGGACCATGAGAATCACAGGGAAAGCCTGTGCTAGAGAGTGAAATGAAGAAGAACCTGGGGTAGGTGGCCTGGGAATGGGACAGGGAGCTTGAGGTGGAGGGAAAGTGCAGTGTAAGGCTTGTGAAGGGGTTGGAAGAGGGTGAGCTGGAGAAAGGGGGTGAGTATCAGGGCATGGACTGGTAGAAAATTGGTGGTGGAAGTGCAGGGACATGATGTAGCCGTTGACAGATAAGTAAATTTATGAGGGGGAAAAGTGAGGGTGAAAGATCTAGTGTCAAACTGGCACTTCTGGCTAACTTCATTTCTTTAAAAGTCAATTCTGGTAACAGTAAGTTCAGCTGTTACCCAGGAGGTCTTGTCTTCCCTTTCCTGCCCTGCTTAGGAAACGTGTCTACATAGTTCTTTTTCTTTCTCACTAAACCTCATCCGCTGTGGACAAATCAATGTCACTTCCCAGGTGGCTGTATCCCACTGTGCAGTCAGGATTGTACTTGGTAATGTCTCAAAGCTACCACGGGTATAGGCTTTCTCTTAAAACCAGCTTTAGCTATCGGTCCTCATGCAGCTGCATCATATACCGGTGCATATACCGGTGCATACATCGCTAAAATTGATACCGGTTGGAAGTATTTGTAGTTTATTGTTGGTAAGCTGCTTGCTTTAGGAGAGTTTTAAGCTTTTTATCCCCTTCTCTTCCAGGGTTTTACTGCAGGTGACGACTGATTGCCATGAGTTCAAATATTTTCCTCTGATTTGCTGTTCACTGGGCCGAAGTGAGGGATGGCTACGGAAGCCAAGTACAGCATCGTTCGAGAAGTGGGCCGAGGGAGCTATGGCGTGGTTTATGAGGCCATCGTTAATCAAACTAGAAGCAAAGTAGCAGTTAAAAGGATGCACTGTAACGTGCCCGAAAATGTAGAACTGGCTCTGCAAGAGTTCTGGGCCCTGCAGAGCATCCAGAGGCAACATGAAAACGTGATCCAGTTGGAGGAGTGTATCCTGCAGAATGGCCAAGTCTTTCAGCCAATTAGTCATCGTTACAGGAAATCAGACAGCCATTTGCTGCTAATTGAGACCTGCCTGAAAGGGCGGAGGTGCATGGATCCCAAATCGGCCTGCTTTCTGTGGTTTGTGATGGAGTTCTGTGATGGTGGCAACATGAATGAATACCTGCTGTCTCGCAGCCCGGATGCTCAGCTGAATAACAGCTTCATGCGGCAGCTCAGCAGCGCTGTGGCTTTCCTGCACAGAAACCAGATAGTGCACAGGGACCTGAAATCTGACAATATTTTGATTTCTCATAGACGTGGAAGTCCCATAGTAAAGGTAAGGGAATAAAACTTTGCTGTAACAAGTATATGATCTACATGCTCGTGCATCACGTGCTTTGGAAAGGTCTTTTGGTGAGTCTTATGATATTTGTAGCTTGTACTAAATGTACTCAGAACATCCGATATCACTTGTGGGCTTTTTTTTTCAGGAGTCCTGGAAGGAAGTAGAGGTCACGATGGTGTCTTTCTGTAATGTCCTTCATCCACTGTTGAGAGGAGCAGTTCAGGGCTGTCTAACTTCTGCACGCTAGATAATCAGGGAGATCATGACCAGTCAAAAATGAAGCAGTATTTTCTGTGCCCTTAAACTTTAAGAACATACTGCCCTGTTACAACAGCTAGCACTTCCAATATTGCTGCCTCAAGCACATATTGATGTTCAGGGGAGGTGAGGAATGTCTTTGTGCTTCGTGTGGGTTGATGCCCTGACTGAGATGAAGACTGGCTAGCTGCCTTTCTTGTAGCACCAGACTGAAAGTCTGTACAGCTGCTTTTCAGAGAGCTGGAAAAGCTGGGAGCCATCTTGCTCCTGAACTTTCAATCCCGAGAGTTCCCGTGGTTAGACATAAAATAACAGATCGGTGCCTTGCAGATAATTCATTTCTTGACCATTCGGATCAATAATGGTATTTGTACTTCGACCTGTAGAGCCGTCAAGGGACATTTAAATCAATGCCATCTTAATCACTGTGGATAATAATGGTAATGCAAGAGATTGAGTGCACTCGCTGTGGAACAGTAAGAGCCACTTCTACCCTAGATGTTGTTCAAGGTATGTTTATGCCCGATTAGACGTACTCAGAATGAACTTCACAGAAAGATAACAAACAGATACTTGTTTTGCCCATCTTAGGAAGGGGAACAAACAACAGAAAAGGAGTTGGGGAATGGACAGCTAACAGGGTATAACCAGCTCTTTGTTTCACTAGGGTTGCCACCCCACAAGTGTCAGTGCCACGCTGTGGTGGATTTCAGAGTGGAATTCACAGAGGCGCTGTTTGTAAACGCGCTTGTAAACTTGATGTTTGTGAATAGGTTATTTTGCTTTTCTTCTTATGCATTGCAGGTAGCAGATTTTGGCCTCAGCAAGGTGTGTCAGGGGAAAGGGAATGTGAACCAGCATCGCTTCTCCTCTGCGTGTGGGTCAAACTTCTACATGGCTCCAGAAGTGTGGGAAGGTCATTACACTGCGAAGGCTGACATATTTGCCCTTGGGATCATTTTCTGGGCTATGGTCGAGAGGATCACCTTCCGAGACGGGGATACTGAGAAGGAATTGCTTGGTGAGGATCAGATCAGTGCTGTCCTGTCGTCAGGGGACGTTCTGGATCTGTAGGGATCCTCTGAGAGGTGTTTCTCCCAGGCATACTTACAAATGCTGTGACATATATGCTTTGGATGTGGCTTTTTCCAGGAATTTGCAAGCACTTTGCAACCCAAAGAAACCCAAAGTTGGTGGGTTTTGGCTGTTTTGGGTTTTTGTTTTTAAGAGGGCTGCAAAGAAATGTCTTTTTCTTCAGCACGTGTTGCTTCTAATTTGGTTGCTTCTCATGCAGGGTTTCGGTCTTGAAGAGATATCACTAAGGCAGAGGGAATGCTTTTTATATTTACAAATCATTTTGTTTGGAAGATCGTTCCTTCTGCCAGAAATACTCTGTGGGATTTAAAGGTTAAGGGAAAGATTGCTTCTGGCTTCTCTGCTGTCAGGCCTTCCTTACCCTAAGGAACGCTCTTCAAAAATGGATTTGGCCCTTATTGTCAGTGAAGAATTGTAAGAGAAAAAGCTCGTAGCCGTTGGTGAGGCATCTGTCTTACAGCTACGCTCTTCATAGGGGATTTAGTATCTGTATACTTCCATTTGCTCAGAAATGCTTTTAATGCTCTTAAAACCAAAACCTTTCTGGAATTGGGCTTAAGGGTTCACTTGTATCCTTGACTTGGCATAAGCAAGGGACGGGATCACTCGGAGCACTGAAAGGATGTTCCAAGGAGCCAAGTAATAAACTGGGAAAAGATGTTTAGGTAAGCTTCACTGCCATCTGGCTGAGTTTCCTCACAGTTGAGAGATGCAAGATCTCACAGGGATGACTCCTCCGATGGCCTGCTCTCTTGCCGCCTCCTCCTTTCTCCAAATCCCCCACATCTACGCTTGAAATACTTTGTACTAAATGATTTCAGAAAAGTATATTGCAGTGGAAAATCCATCTTGAGAGGAGAGACTGCCAGTCATGCACATTAGCATAATAATTGAAGACATCTACCCAGGCTCTGAGATCATAGTATACCTGTCTGTCTTTCGTTTAAGTGTTTAAATTCTTAAAAGGAATTTCTACGGAAGAACTTTCAGAAGCTATTGTGCTACCCCTTTAATTTTTTTTTTTTTTTTCAACTTTAAGTAGGCTCAGTTCTAATTCTATTGTTTATTTCTTTTTAAAATGCCAAACATTGATAAATGTTTTAGTTCCTGCCTACAGAAACAAGCAAATGGCTGCAGCTGAGACCAAAGCATGAATAGATTTCATTAAAATAGCTACCCGCCAACTTGAGATAAGGAGTTTGCAAGGCCAACCTTTTCTATGCACGGACAGGTCACTGCCTTTGAAACATTTATTCTTTGCCTGGTGCAGGGGCAGAACAGCTTGAGTGAGCAAAGCTGTTTTTACTGTCTGTTTTGGAAGGCAGTTAATCGTTTTCAACAACCGGTGAAATTATTTAGATTACCAGGAGCAAATTTACATTTCCCTTCCTTAATCTTGCTGAGGAGAAATTGGCTAACGGTAAATGGCATACACTGTCATTTTAATTGAAAATTGTTTGACTAACTGAGCAAATAAGTTTTGTGTTTAACTCTTTCAAGTCACCTCAGCCAAGCACAGTCTCCCTCCCTTTTCTAGAACTTCCGTGTCTGCTAGTAGGGTGAAATGGAGCAAAATGGAGGAATTTCATTGCAGCAGCGCATTTTCTCTGCAGATGGCCCATATAACTGTTTGACGGGCACGCCATGCTTAAACATGCTCCTTCTGTTCCACGCATGGTTACGCACATGGCCTTGTGCAACATCTTGATTACTGTTTGAAAGTAAAAGCCTCTTCTGATAACAGCCTCTCCCAATATTTGAGTTGGCGGTCACCTCTTAATAAGTGATAGTTCTGGTAATCTTTCAGATGTTTTGTTTTCCAGACTGTCTATCTGTACTGTGCGTGACAGCATTTTGTGTAGACTTTCCTCTACCTGTATAAGCTGACTCCTTCTAATCTGTGTTCAGGAACTTACATCTGCCAAGGCAAGGAGCTTATTCCCCTCGGAGAAGCGTTGCTGGAGAATCCCAACATGAAATTACAAATTCCCCTGAAGAACAAGAAGTCCATGCCAGCTGATCTCTGCAAGCTCCTGCATGATATGCTGGCTTTTAACCCAAAGGAAAGATTGGATGCCTTCCAACTAGAAGTCCGAATCAGGCAAATCTCCTATGGCAAAAAGCGTCAACGCTCTGTCTCGTAGAGACGAAGGACGTTCAGGTTAGTGTCTCTGCCAGGCTACTGCCTGTTTAGGCTGAGCTTACAGGGGATTTTTTGTTATTGACCTCGAGGCCAAAGCCCTCTAAATGAAATGTGACCTGTAGCAGTTCTGAAAATTCAGTGATGGAAAGATGCAATCAAACTAGAAGAAGAAAAGGCTTCTATAAACGTTTGAGAAAAGGAATTTGGTTGAAGTACACCTAAGAAACTTTTGCCTCCTTAATGGTGTTTGTTCAGGGAACTGGCTGCGCTGTCTGTATTTGGGCCAGCCTGTCCTTTACCCTAAACCTCATCCATTTCCACAAATGAGGGCAGATTTCTGCCATCATTCCAGCATTTACCTGTGCTTGTTTGTTGCTTTTACAATATATTTGCTAACTAAATAGAAGCTGAAGTGAGCAAGGTTACGGTATATTTGTAGGTGTGCATCTTAAATATGGTATTCAGCTATAATAGTAACTGTCAGATTAAAGACAGATTTTTTTTTTTTTTTTTTTAATTAAAGCACTGTTAATGCTCTGAGTCTATCAGATGATAGAGGAGCTTCCTGTCATGAAGCTTCCTGTCATGTTTAACATGTAAAGGCCTCGAAGAATGTCTTGGAAAAGGCTGGACTGGAAGTCTGGTAGTCTTGCTGAGTCCTGCAGTGAGACTGTTGTTTTTATGTGCCCGTTTTGAAAAACAAATTTGATCCTAATCCTTGTGAGTTCTTGATGGCTTCTTTAGTATCTGCCTTGATGGAAGTTTGACCGTCCAACATAAGATTTAAGACGGTCTGTCAGATTCCGTGTCTTTCAGCAGAGCAATGAAAATACAGAATGGAGTTTCCAGGATTTTCAAGTCCTGTCTTCTGCTATCATGGGCTTCATATCCTAGAATTTCTTTGATAAATGCATCATAGAAATAAAGGTTTTTGTGTCTGATACCGTCACTGGGACCGAGCATCTGGCTGTCCTTATAGCTAAGGACATTGTCCTTTGCAACACAAATGCATTTTTGATCAGTTTAATACTCTTGATCTTCTGGCAGACTCGTCCTTCAGCTTAAAATGTTCTTCTCCTTCCTGGGTGTTTGCCCATTCTGAACTACTATAGAGAACAATTGTAACCTTAGCAGCATTTCTTCCTGTCCAAGGTTCGTTGGTTGGTTCCATCGAGGTTGGCTCCTCCATCTCCTCTATATACAGATAATTTCTGCACTTATTCTAGACGAGTCTCTTCAGGTCCTTGTAAAGCACCAGCATTTACTATCTAGCCTTGGAAATATTCCTCCCGATGTATTCCAGGATCGCATCTCTCTCCTTTCATATCTATATCACTTAATCCTCTCATAATTGCTTTGTATCCTAAAGCCCTTTTTGACTTGAGTTGCTTCAAATCAATAACATTTTGGGTTACAGCAGTTACTTTTGTTCACAGATGCATGACCTTACGTTTTTAATTGCCGAATTTAATCCCCTGTCAGTTAGAAGAAACGGTGAATGACCCTGTATATTTCCTCATCCTTTTTTATAACCGTAAAACCTCCAGCTTTGTGTCATCGGCACACTTCTAATTGTGCCAAGGCTGTTAGTGAAAACATTAATTAAACAAGTTCATTGCCAGTGCCAATCTTGATAAAACTCTACTCTAGCCTCTTAATTTCCAAATTACCTGTTTCAGTTTTCCCTTGGGACAGGTTAACTGCCTTACATCTTTTTTACTAATCCCAGTCTTCTCCTGTCTATCTAATACTTTCTTGTGTGGTACTACATCAAATGCCTTTCTGAAATCTCACTGGACAAGACCAACACTTCTTTTTATCTAGAAAAATCAGTATTATCACTGAAAACTACTTGATTAGTCTGATAGGATCTGCAGTTCTGGGGACTCCCACCTGAAACAGGAGGCCTGGCATACTGTAATAGCAACAGTACCACTAGTTGGCAGGCCAGCCCTGAAGTGGTTAGCCTGCTATAGAGGAATTTGCGAGGAAGGATAAAGAGAAAAAAAAGCTCTAGCAGCACAGTGTCGGGCTTACTCCTGTTGACTTTCCTTTTTCATTATGAAACCGTAATGGTAAATAGGTTTGCAGACTAGGTTCAGAAGAAAAATGCCAGCACAGCCAGGACGTATCCCTGAAAACCCCGTCTGTCTCAATCCTCTTCGTTTATTTTATTTTCCTCTTCGGTAGGAAGCTAGCTGAATACCTACTAGACTTGCTTTTGGCGTGTAATCGGAGTTGATGCAGCAATGACTTGTGGCACAGCGTTTCACACCACGAGGCGCTAGTCTCACGCTGCTGAAAATGCTGTCAGCTGCTGTGTTAGTGTGGACTGAAATGAAAACCAACTCGCCTTTCTAAAATGGGGTCTTAAACAATAATTCATGGATGCTTCAGTCCAGAAAACAGACTAATTTCATATCCGACTTTCCTAATCTCAAATCAGGAGTAGCACAGAGGCTGAAAAGGGTTTCTCGCAACGCTAAATCTAGGTGCTTCAGAAGAAATTCTCCAATAGCAAGTTCGAATCAAACAGGAGATACTTTTTTTTTTCCGTAATGCTTTGTTATCATCGGCAATGAACTCTACAGTCTAGGGCAGCCAAACACTAAATCTCCTCAGAACAGTGTGAAAAACATCTAAATGAGTTTTCTTTCATGAATTTAAAGACAAGGATATGGATATAACCTGTGATTCAGGAAGTCCTTAAGTTAAACATTGCTCAGAACTGGGATTTTTACTGAGGAAACCCTGTTTGTGTACCTGCCCCTTGCTCTTCCCTAAGCATATGCATGCTGTTGATGTCCCTGAGGCAGAACAGTGGGCCAGGGGACCTTTGGTACAGACCAGTGCTCTCGCTAAGAAGTATTTTATTTTGCAACTTTGGTGTGTTTCATTTGCAGGTATCCTGCTGCAATCTGGAGGCCTCAGAGATGGCGAACAACTCTGCCTTCCTTTGGAATGAGTGGGTCGATCAGAAGACTGTTGCCAGCTTCCAGTTTTCCCAAACGGTTATATTTAAATGGACAATAACTTTATTTATTTGTACAGTAATTTTAAGAGGAGAACTACAAAAAATCTATTTTTATGCAAACCTTTGGTGTTTTTATATATGCGTTCTTTTATGCAGCGAGTAGCGTAGGTGAAAACTTGACTGAGGTGACCTTGACTGGCCATACTCGGCACAGTTGTAGAGTTTCTGAGCTTGCTCTTTTTAAAGCAACCCCTGTGCATCCTCTTGTTCCCGTCCTGTGACTGCCCTTTCGAAGGACGGCAAAGAAACACAGAAACCGTCTGGAGACGGACTTCTCTGCCCCATTGCGTGTTGACTGCCTTTCCAGCCCTGGCTTCTCACTGATAACGCCATGTCGCTTGTCCTTGGCACAGAAGTTGTCTTTAGGAGGTTTAACTGGAGCTTTTTTTTGTGTAATCCTTCGCTCTGTGTTGCTTGGCCACGTAACTGAGTGATGTCTGCTGAATGAGCTGGCAAAGTGTTGAGTGTCTATTCTGAAAAGTTTGAGCAGAAACAAAAATGTTTCTTCACAGTAGCTTTTGAATATTCTTGCTTAGATTAACTAAAATGCTTTCTTAAAATAAATACAAAGAATGTAAAGATGCCAACTCTTGATTAGAACGTATGCGTCACTAACACTTAAAGTAGTTTAAGGAATCATGCTTCCTGCTGTGTTAGCTGCTTATGCCAGCTGTTCTTACAAGGGAAATGAAAAGGACTGAACTGGAATCTTGGCAGGTAAATGGGGAGTCTAATTTGTGCCCTGTTTGAAAAATATTTTAATGTATCTGTAAACTACTGCTGATCTTCGCTTTTCTTAAGGAGGTGGGAGCTCCTGGAAAAGGTTCCTCCTATGCTCTTCTGTTGTGCGGAGGTAAAACAGTGTCCTTCAGGGACAGCTTCCTTTGTAGGAAAGGAATTAACTGCCAAAAGCAAGGGAACATGCTGAGCCCCTCTGCGCCACCTATGCCCCACAGAGGACAGAAATATATGTATTTCTGTTAGAAATAGATTATATATTCCTTCCCCTTGTCCTACTCTACTAAGATTGTGGCTGCGATATAGAAGATTCTGTATTATAAGCAGTGTGTCATAAGCTAAATGCATGGAGAGGATCTTTCTTCCTTCCATGACTTTATCCAGAGGCTCCACTGGCCTTCCATGGGGAAGCGTAATATTTTCTCATAAGCTGTAAAATATGTTTTTCCTGCACAAACAAGCATTAATTGACCTCTATCCCCGTAACAGGTAACAAACGGACTACCCAACGGGAGCGGTCCCTGAAAAGAGCTGTTGCGGGAAAGTATAAAAAAAATAAGTTAATTCAGGTCTTTAAATTAAACTTGACTTTTGAATTTAGAGAAGACCTAGTCCAACAGTGCTAGTGTGTATGAAATGTGTGCAGCAAGGACAGACACTCTGAAGCTCATTCAGCTCTTGACACCTCTGTGCAGACAGACCGTAGGGTGACTGGAAACGAGCTGAAAATGGGGGTCTGGATCTTTTGTTATCAAGAGCCACAGTCACCCTGGTCTGGACAGGACTTCTGTCTTCTGGTAGGAGACAGGTCTGGCTTTGACTGCAGCTCTACACCTGCAGTACAGCCCAGTTTTACCTAGTCCTAGTTTTTGCCTCAATTTCTAACTAATCTTGGAGTTCTGGGGAATCAGGACTGTATGCTTTTGGTTATAAATACTTTCCTGCTATTCTGAAGTAAGGTTTCTTCATCCTTCTCTTTCTAATCCTGTGGCCACCTCTACTCTATTGTCTGCTTTCTGCCATCTCTCCTCAGAGCATGCTGGTGGTCTTCCAGGGCTTCTTTTTAGTTGAGACTAGGTCCATTTTTCTGGAATACAGAGAGGTTTGCACACCCTCGCAACACGTGAGAAAATTGCAGGGCACAAGAATGGCCGTTTACTCATTTTCTTCCTTATTTTGCCATGCTAGGCGAGAATCCTCACAGCTGCTAGATATTTTTAGCTAGTCTGTACGTATGCTTTAATCGCTTGAAACTCTGTATTTTATAAATTAATAAAATGCTGTGGTTTTTTACTAATGCATTAAAAAGTGTGGTAATACTGAGCATCTCATTAGAATCACATGTGACACTTTTTTTTTTTAGGTACTACAATTTAGTAA